CGTCGTGGTCGACCATTTTTGAAAGCTCGTCGGCGTGTGTGTTGAGCTCGCGCGGAATCCATTCAATGATCAAGCGCGTGCCAAGCGCCATGCATGTTCGGATGATGCTCTTGCATGCCGTTGTGAGGTCGGGGCTGTGAGAGCCGCCTTTGCGAAGGATGAAGAATACGCCCTGGTTGTCCACCCGCACGAGAACGTGTTTTTGCTTGATCTTGTTCGCATACGTTTGTAGCGCCCAAAGGACGCCTTCGATCTCCCGTCGCGTGCTGGACGTTCCTCGTAGCGGCTCTGACATGGTTGCGCTAGCTTCTTCGATGCCACCCGGAAATGTGGTCAGAGTGGCGCCCCAACCATGAGAGCTGGCATCCACGTGGATTACCGCGTTGTAGCTGTTCTTGACGTGAAAAGGTGCGCCGTTGAAACGGTCGAACTCCTCGAGCCAAAATTGGAGCTCTTCTGCTGCAGATGGGGGGATAACGTCGCTGCTTTTCCATGACGGTGCGTCGTCGATCACTTGTAACATAGCATGGCTGAATGCGCGAGCTGTTGCGCCAAGTGCGACACCCATCGATGCGAGCATGCCAGTGATTCTGGCCACGTGGCGGACCGGGACTGGTCGGCATGCCTTGCTTGCGCTCAGGAGGTTCCGGATGGTTGCATGTAGTGAGGCTCGTCGGTCCGGACCGATGGAGAATCGGCCGGTATCGGTCTCGAGTTCTACGCCCAGGAATCGGAGACGCTGCGATGGTGACAGTTGTGATTTCTTCGCGTTTATCACAAGGCCTGCCTCTTTAAGATCCAATATCACCCGCTGGCAAGTTGCTTGCGCGTCCTCTTTCGACTGGCAGAGAAATAAGATGTCGTCCACGTAAGGTACGACTCGGATGCCTTGTTCTCGCCAACGCCGAGCTAGTTGCTTGATGAGCTGCGTGAAAACGAATGGAGCTGTCGCGAGGCCAAATGGTAGTGAACGGAATGCGTATGTGCGCTTATCAAATTCAAAGCCAAGGAACTTCCAGCACGATGGGTGGATGTCGATGTGGTGGTAACCAGATTTGAGGTCAATGGAGAACATCCAGTCCCCAACGCGCGCAAGGTCGGCGACGCGGCTGAGCCCTTCGTACTTGAACTTGGGGATGATCAAGTTGGCGTTGACTTTCCTCAGATCAAGAATGAGCCTGCATTTGTCTTTTTGCTCGACCACGTTGAGTGGACTTATGCATGTAAGCTCCGTTGCGGCCATCGGAATTGCCGCTCCCGTCTCTATGAGTTCTTGGATGGCGGTACGTGCGAACGTGGCATGCGTGTTTGCCCCGACATGATTGCGATCGTGGAAATGTTGCGGTGGGCCGTGGCTCCATGGCAACCAGTAACCCTTGGCGATGACGGAGAGGACAAGGCTGCTGGGGCACCATGAGCTCCACCACGCAAATGTCGCGCGAAGACGACCGCGCATGTGTGTAATAGTTCTGTCTGTAACGGCAAATTCGTACGGATCGTCGTGGCATGCCGCCTCGCACCGTCGTGCTCCTGTACATTTGAGGCCAAGTGGTATAAGCTTTGAGTATTCCACGTTAAAGCATGCGTGTGCATGTACTTGTACGGGCAACCATTGATCGAAGGTGTGAAGAGAGTGAACAATTGAATGAAATGTCAACGAATGTGTCGGTAATGTTAACGCATGTCAACGCATGTCTCTTCTTCTCCTCGTTTCCCCTTTTTTTTTTTTTTTTTTCTTGCCCCGTCGTCCACTTGGTAGGACATGGTTGTGCCTGCCCTTAGTGCGTAGGGGCTGATGCCTAGGGCCATGGACACCGTTGTCCATTGTGCTTTCTCTCATTCTCTCTTATCTCTCTCTCTCTCTCTCTCTCTCTCTCTCTCTCTCTCTCTCCCTCTCTCTCTCTCTCTCTCTCTCTCTTTCTCTCTCTCTCTCTCTTTCTCTCTCTCTCTCTCTCTCTCTCTCCCTCTCTCTCTCTCTCTCTCTCTCTCTCTCTCTCTCTCTCTCTCTCTCTCTCTCTGCTCCTCCTCTTGATTTTCATAGTCTCTTTGCCAAAACCATAGGCCTTTAGGAAGGTAGTTTTTATTAAATCAACCAACACACATAGCAATGCTTTCCTAGCATGCCACCAAGTGGCCAACATATGGGACCGAGGGGTTGTTGTTCCCCTTCCCTATCCTAGGCCCAAGCCTATCCCACCCTTTACTAGGGCTGGCCTCTTGCCATCGCAAACCCCTAGGGTTGCCCACGGTTTTTCGCACTCAAGAGTGCACCGTGCCTAGCGCCCAAGCGCCTAGTCTCATGGCCCGCTCCTACACCACCGGAGCGGGTCCCTGGCCTCCATGCCCGTTCCGAGGGCAGGCACTTGCCACGTGGCCCGGCTGGCCGCAGCGGAAGCATGAGCCCCGGAACCCACGGCAATTGGCCGTGGGCGGGGGGCCTCGCTTGGGTAAGAACGGCATCGGCCCGTTGTTTCCGCCGCGGTTGACACGAGCGTATCCGCTTGCCGCACGGTCCATCGCCGCCATGTCCGCGACCGCCTGCTTGAAGGGTCGAGAAGTCAGCAGGCTCTTCTGCTGGTACAGCTTAAAGCGCTTCGCCGTGCGAAAGTCGGAGGCGTCCTCCACTTGAAGCACCTCGAAACGCCCCGCGATGAGGTTGAGAGCGTGTGAGATGAGTTCGAGTCCGCCCGCCGGATCACCGCGCTGCGCCTTGTATTCGGCGTGCAGCAGGTACGCCCGCAGGTCCTCCAGTAGCTCCGCTTGCTCTCGCACGGAGTCATTGACGAAGGTTGCCGCCGAGAAGGTAAGATTAGAAGAAGGGAGGGGGGGAAGGTTTTCCGTGCCAATAAAATTAACATTGTTGACTGGAGCCTCACCGGCTTCATCTTCAGAGTCGTCGGTGTCGTTGTCGACCGCTGGAGCAGGGGGAGCGGCAGTCGCTGCGTCGTTGTCATGCCGGTTCGTCCGTGCTCCCCGTGTGCCTTTCTCCTTTTTTGCAGTTTCTTTTTTAGCCGACGCAGATGCGGCGGGTAGTGCAGTTTCCGCGGCTGTAACGCTGACGGGTTGCTGCTGTAGAAGGGACAGCAGCGCGTTGACCTGGTCCGGGGTCAACGCCTGCGTCAGCGCAGGGGCGGCGGTCGCGTCAGACGAGGAGACTGCAGTCCGCCTCCTCTGACGCTGACGCGACGGTCCAGCAGCGGGTGCTGGCGTGTGCTCGGCGTCAGTCGCGTGTGCCGCGCCAGTCCCCGTCGCCACTTGCGCCACAGGTGCCACTGGCGCCACAGGCGCCATTGGCGCCACAGGGACCGAAGGGTGCTGCTGGGTTTCGGCGTTTTTGTGGACCTCGAGCCCGCCCAGCAGCACGTCCACTGCAGTCGGGGCGGAAGGTCCGTCTTCTGCCCGACGCTTGTTACGGCGTTCGCCCGCAGAATCGCGGGCGTTACGGTCGGAGTCGGAAGCGGGGGTTGACGAGTTCCCGTTGTTAAGTGTCGGCGTAGGTGCCATCGTTGAGCGATTGAAGTTGAAAATGTGGCTGAGTAAAGTAGAGGGTGACTCGCCTCTAGGAAGCGATTTAATCCTAGCCAGCTTGGAGGGAAAAACTACTCGAGCGGAAAATGTTGAGTGAGCCGTTTGAAAATTGAGAAACGTGGGTGGAGGGAAATGAGCTCCAACCCACGGTTTTTGTAGTTGGAGAAGGGCGTTTAGCGCGCTTCGACGATGCCAATTGTGCAGTACAAGCAGCTTCGCTTTCACAATACACAATTTTAAAAAACACTACATGTGTGTTTAAAAATTATAATAATATCAAAGTCCTCCTTTTGGCCCAAACTCCTCCCTCCATGATTCTCCTTGCCAAGCCTCTCCAAAACCCTAGCTTCTAGTTAACTCTTTCTTCAACAGTTATGCATGGAGCGAAACACATAAGCTTACTTGCATGCAAACTCAAGCCGCCTGCGAAAGGCATAAGGCCCGTCTTAGCGATAGCACATAGATGACAACAATTGTTGATAAACTGATCGACTTTCTAGATTCAAAGCAACTTTGATATCCATATGATTTAGTATTGTCGAATGAATCTGCGCATAAAGTAAGACTAATTTGGTATTTTTCTAACCTAAAAGTTTATCAAGCATCTCCTGCATTGAAACCAGTTACAGCACAACAGAAAGCAAACGTGGAGACTACCGCGACTTCTACGTGGCAGGTTTCTCACCAGGCAGATTCCATCAGTAACCTGATTGGCCCAGCCTCCCCAATTCTTGGGCGTACACGTTTTCCAGCTCACCAGCACAGCTGCACGAAACTTTCTGGGGTTCCGCGAAAACGGTACAGGCGGTTCGGAAACATTCTCAGAATCGTCGCGCTCCTCCAGAATAATCTCTAGCTGGAGGTTACAGTACAGTACCTCCAGTAACCAGTCTCATTTATAGCCCTGTGCTGGCATCATCTCACGCACACGTGCTGGCGCAGATCACGGAAACTGGGCCCTGAGTTCGAAAGTACGCGAATCGGGTTCCACTCCACAGCTCACAGTAGTCAAATCGCTGCCTGCCAAGCCGCAGCTCACGCTAATATTTGTACTATCGCGAGCCCAATACAGCGTTGACACTTGTCAATGGTGCATCTAACGGAGCTGCGAATCGTGCTGCCCTTCACATGTGCGTGTCAAGGGCCGGGGGTGGGTCGGCGGGAAAAATATGGAGGTCGCGTGAACATGCGGAAAACGATAGGCGCGGAGGCGCGTCTAGGAGTTGACCGATTAAGCAGCTGGATGTTTTTCCGCTTCGCATCCCTTCGCGCTCCGCCATGTCCACCACTCCCATGCCCTTCCGCTGGTTCTCCCCCCCGCTGATTATTTCGATACCTTCTCCTTGCACGTTCCTGGCATGACATGGCATGGCATGGCATTGCATGGCATGGCATGGCATGGCACGAGGCGGAACGGGACGCCACGGGGCGCGCGCACGGGGGGGAGGGCGGGGGTGTGCGGGGGTGCGCAGTGGAGGAGTTCAAGCGCGGGCAGCGGTACGCCAACTGGCGCACTAACGAGGATGCCACGGAACCCGGCCAGGGCGGCACTGTCAGTGCCCTCCCGTCCGCCCTTCCTGCCCTCCCTCTCCTCCCTGCCCCCCCCTTCTCTGCTGCTCCCCCTCCTCCTCGCCCTCGAGTGCCGTGCCATCCCGCTACTGTGTGTGTTTTCAAATGGCGCCTCCACGCGATGCTCCCAGTTGTCACACACACCTCTTTTCTCCCCCTCACCCTCCTCCACTCGCTTTGAATTCACCACGGGACGCCCGAGGCACTCAGTATCCCCACAATCGTTGTTCTCCCCCCCTCCTATCTCCCTGTCTCCCTCATCTCCCTACATCTCCCCCCTCTCTCGCCCCCAGCTGCTGTCATCAACGCCCTACTACCACGAGCAGCACGGGGAGGGTCTCTTCACGCACAGCCTCTTCCGCCTCGGCAACCGCCTCCCTGACTGGGTGGGTGCCGCGCATTGCCACCTGAAATATCACCTCGCTTGGACTGAGTACCAGAAGGGAAAACGAGTACCCCCCCTTGTCACACTGGGTGCTCGTGTCTTATTCCTTCTGGATACTTAACTTGCTGGCTGAATTCTCTGCTCTGCATGTGCACCTGGTGCATAACGATTGAATCGTGTTTCATTGTGTGTAGGCCTCTTGAATCCAAAGGCTTCGTTCTGTGCATGCGCCCTTTTCCTGCATTGCATTCACCTGGGTCCCATGCACGTGCTGTGTGCATGCATGCATGCAGGTGAACCGGCTGGTGCCGCCGTCAGTGCTGGTGGTGGATGAGAAGAGCTGGATCAACTACCCCTACTTCCGCACCATCATCACCATCCCCTTCTTTAGCAAGGTGCGTGCCCGCACTCACTGGTTCGCATGCATGCACTAGGTTGGCATTACCATCACCATCATCACCACCCCCTTCTTTAGCAATGTGGGTGCCCGCATTGCTATCACCTTCAGCATCAGCATCAGCATCAGCATCAGCATCAGCATCAGCAACAGCATCAGCATCAGCATCAGCATCAGCATCAGCATCAGCATTAGCATCAGCATCAGCATCAGCATCAGCATCAGCATCAGCAACAGCATCAGCATCAGCATCAGCATAGCATCAGCATCAGCATCAGCATTGCATTAGCATTAGCATTAGCATTAGCATCAGCATCAGCATCAGCATCAGCAACAGCATCAGCATCAGCATCAGCATCAGCATTGCATCAGCATCAGCATCAGCATCAGCATCAGCATTGCATTAGCATTAGCATTAGCATTAGCATCAGCATCAGCATCAGCATCAGCAACAGCATCAGCATCAGCATCAGCATTGCATCAGCATCAGCATCAGCAACAGCATCAGCAACAGCATCAGCATCAGCAACAGCATCAGCATCAGCAACAGCATCAGCATCAGCAACAGCATCAGCATCAGCAACAGCATCATCATCAGCATCAGCATCAGCATCAGCAAAACCACCCGCCGACCTCACCATCTCTTTCCCAACCCCACCTCCCCACTCCCCCCCACCCCTTCTCCCCAGCACGCATGGAGATCGAGACCATTGCAGGACGGTGGCTCATTCCCCAACGCCTTCGGGCTCCCCCACTTCCCCACTCCTTTCTCCTCTCTTGAAAAGATTCTCCCCTTCCCCCACTTCCCCACTCCTTTCTCCTCTCTTGAAAAGATTCTCCCCTTCCCCCACTTCCCCACTCCTTTCTCCTCTCTTGAAAAGATTCTCCCCTTCCCCCACTTCCCCACTCCTTTCTCCTCTCTTGAAAAGATTCTCCCCTTCCCCCACTTCCCCACTCCTTTCTCCTCTCTTGAAAAGATTCTCCCCTTCCCCCACTTCCCCACTCCTTTCTCCTCTCTTGAAAAGATTCTCCCCTTCCCCCACTTCCCCACTCCTTTCTCCTCTCTTGAAAAGATTCTCCCCTTCCCCCACTTCCCCACTCCTTTCTCCTCTCTTGAAAAGATTCTCCCCTTCCCCCACTTCCCCACTCCTTTCTCCTCTCTTGAAAAGATTCTCCCCTTCCCCCACTTCCCCACTCCTTTCTCCTCTCTTGAAAAGATTCTCCCCTTCCCCCACTTCCCCACTCCTTTCTCCTCTCTTGAAAAGATTCTCCCCTTCCCCCACTTCCCCACTCCTTTCTCCTCTCTTGAAAAGATTCTCCCCTTCCCCCACTTCCCCACTCCCTTTCTCCCCTTCCCAGCTGCGCATGGAGATCGAGACCATTCACCTGCAGGACGACGGCTCGCACCCCAACGCCTTGGGATTGTCACCAGCTGAGCTGGCGCTGCGGCGCGTGGACTGGATGGATATTGGCAGTGAACCTGTGGCCAAACGCGACTACAAGGCCGAGCTCGACCCGTTATTGGTCCGCTCTAAGCTCACAGGGTGAGTCAACGCCAGTCAACACCTTGGGATTGTCGGGGCGCTGCGGCGCGTAGACTGGATGGACATTGGCAGTGAAGCCGACTGCTGGTCCGCTCCAAGCTCACAGGGTGAGTCAACGCCAGTCAACGCCTTGGGATTTTCAGAGGGTGGACTGGATGGACACTGGCAGCGAGCCTGTGGCCAGAAGGGACTACAAGTCCGAGCTGGACCCACTGCTGGTCCGCTCCAAGCTCACAGGGTGAGTCAACGCCAGTCAACGCCTGTCGACGTTTTGGCCAGTTCCCTGCTCTCTCACACCCCCCCTCACTCCCTCCCTTCCTCGCTCTCCCATTCCCTCCTCGCCCCTCCCCACCAGTCGAGGCCCCCTAACCCCGAGTTGGCAGCAGAAGGGGCGCTACCTGATGTGTGCGTACAAGGTGGTCCACGTCCTAGCCCACTCTCCCCCCATCTCCCACCCTCTGTCCCCCATCCTACCCCAGTCGCGGCCCCCTAACCCCAGGGTGGCAGAAGAGGGAGCGGCCTCTCATGTGTGCATACAAGGTGGTGCGAGCCCAGGCGGAGTATTGGGGTGTGCAGAACAGTGCAGAGCGGCTGCTCATCAACTCGCTCAGGCAGGTGGGTGGGTGCACGTGGGTGTGGAATGTGAGTGTGGGAGTGGGCGTGGGAATGGGAATGCATGGGTAGTTGGTGCTGCGTCATGCCATCACAGGCGGAGTACTGGGGTGTGCAGAACAGTGCAGAGCGGCTGCTCATCAACTCGCTCAGCCGCTCTGTGCTGTCAGGTGGGTGGGTGGGTTGTCGGTGAGGGTGTGGGTGGGGATGCTGGATTGGAGTGAGTGGATTGGAGGACCAGTGTTGCTGCCTCATCTCATGCCATCACAGGCGGAGTACTGGGGTGTGCAGAACAGTGCAGAGCGGCTGCTCATCAACTCGCTCAGGCAGGTGCGTGGGGGCAGGTGGGTGTGGTTATGGGTGTGGGTGAGGGTGTGGGAATGCGTGTGCTGGTGCTGCTGTCTCATGCCACCACATGCGGAGTATTAAGGCGTGCAGAGCAGCGCAGAGAAGCTGCTCATCAACTCGCTCAGGCAGGTGCGTGGGAGCAGGTGGATGGACTTGGATGGTTATGGTTGATGTGATGCGATGCAACGCTTTGCCATGCCTTTTGAGACGTAAGGCCTCCGCAGCCCACCTGTTCTCTCAACAATATGGTTGATGTGATGCGATGCAACGCTTTGCCATGCCACCCGCATCACACATCTACGTCCAGACAATCAACACCGCCCATTTCAAGCCTTCCTATCCGCAACGTCGTTCCCCCCGTCACCTCCTCCCCCTACCCCCACCCCCCCCCCACCCCCCCCCCCCCCCCCCCCCCCCCATCTCCCTTCTCCCACCAGATATTCCTGCGAGCGCACAAGAACTGCTTTGGCCTCGTAGACTACTGGTATGGTATGCAGTGGCGGCACAGTGTGCTATGCCCGGCTATACCATACCCCACCACGCCCCCCTGAAGCCCCGCTTTCCCCCGTGCCTCCCTTCCCTCACCAGATCTTCCTGCTAGCGCACAAGAACTGCTTCGGGCTCTTAGACCACTGGTACCCGCTCTCGCTCGAACAGGTTCGCCCCAGCCCTCTCCCACACGCTCTCTCTTTCCCACACTCTTGCTTCCTCACCCTGTCTGCCCACACGCTCTCTCTTCCCCACACTCTTGCTTCCTCTCCTCACCCTGTCTGCCCCTCTCTCTTCCTCACCCTGTCTGCCCCTCTCTCTTCCTCACCCTGTCTGCCCCTCTCTCTTCGTACGTACCCTGCTCACTTCTTCCCCCAACTTTCTTCCCTTTTTTCTCTTAGAACATCGTTTCCGTTTTTTCACCTCCTCCTCTCTATCCCTCCCCCTCCTCCCTCCGTCTCCCCGTCAGAGCATTGCAATCACTGACAAGAACAAGCCACAGGTTTCAGGTCCCAAAGCCCCTTTTTCCTCTCCTCTCCTCTCCCTTTCGCCCACCCCCCTCCCCTGCTCTCCGCCTCCCCGTCAGATCATTGCAATCACCGACAAGAACAAGCCTCAGGTCCCCGTCCCAAAGCCCCTCCCTCCTCCCGAACCTGCTGCCGAGCCTGTTCCAGAACCTGCCTCCGAACCTGAAGGTCGTAGCAAGAGGGACGGGTTGATAGCGGGCGGTGTGGAAGAGGGGAGGGAGGGGAGGAGGGATGGGATGCTGACAAGAGGGAGTGAGAGTGAGGGAGGTGAGGGGGAGGGGGAAGGGGAGGAGACGGAGGAGGAATCAGAGGAGGAGGATGAGGAGTGGGATGATGAAGTGGAGTTCTACGAAGCACAGGTGAGAGATGCGCCTGCCATACCCCACTCTCGTGCATCTAACTTCACAGCAGCAGAAGAGTTGAAGCAGAAGGCTGTTTGTATCGCATCACAAGCATAACCACAGCCCCTCAACCCTCCCTCCGCGAACCCCGCTGATTCTATTACTGTCTAAATGGTGATCATACTGTGTACCTAGCTCGTCCGTGTCCTCACAAGCATACTGTGTACCTAGCTCGTCCGTGTCCTCACGGCCTCGTTTCTTGTCCTTGCTCGCTCTACCCTGTACCCTGTGTGTACTCTGCATGGTTGCAGATGCCAGTGGGCGGCCGAGGAAGAACTCTTCGGAGAGAAGATGCTTTCAGGTGAATTCTCGAGAATCCAGGTGAAATGACAGAAATCTCTGCTGTGCCCCTCTGCTGTGCTCCTCTCTGCTGTGCTCTTCTGCTTTGCTCGCTCGCACCAGCAATCCCTACCTCTGCCTTCCTCCCCGCCCTTTCCCCCCTTTCTCCTTCATCCAGACCTGGGTCATCCGCTCTCCCTCTGCTTGGAGCAGCCCCCCGCCCCTCTGCCCCCTCTGCTGTGCGCGCACACACCACCAGGGCGGGCAGCTGGAGGGGAGAGAGAGGTCGGCGGAAGCTGGCAGGGCAGTGCAAGAGTGTGCGCCGGCTGTGTTCTGTGTGTCGTGTGGCGAGTTCTTCTGCCACCGCTGCTTTCACGAGGTGAGGATGCGAGAGGCATACCGATGACTTGGGAGGGAAGCGTCTCAAAACGTCGCCTGAGTGGGTGCCTGCTGTGTGTGTCCTGCGTTTCCTTTGTGGCGTTGAGAGGCAAGGCTGGAGAGGACTTAATGGTGGTCTCCATGCCCTTCCCCCTGTCCCCATGCCCCCCTGCCCCCATGCCCCCATGCCCCCATGCCCCCATGCCCCCATGCCGCACGCATGCCCCATGCCCCATGCCCAATATTCCTCCATACTCTTATGCCTCATGCCCCATACCCCCATACCCCCATCGTGACAGTTCCACATCACGCCTCGCTTGCAGCAGCATGCCACACACCCCATCGCTTCTTCCCAGACGATTCCTCCTGCCGCCCCTGCTGACGCACAGAATGGCTACTCTCCACTCAATCAGACCTGCCACGTGGCAGCACAGACACTGTCCCCACGCCCCCTACCACCACCAGTCACCGCATTGCACCCAGCGGCACCAGCACAACCACAAGTAATACCGAGGAGGACTACTCAATTGGTGTCGGCAGCGCTGGTGCTGTTGCTAGTGCTCCCTCTGCTGCTACCTCTGGTGCTGCTGCTGCTGCTGCCTCTGTTGCTGCTTCTGCTGCGCCGCACAGAGAGGAGGAGGCAGAAGGCAGAGGCGAAGGGATTGAGAGAGCAGGCGAGGGAGGGGGAGAGGGAGGAGAGGGAGGGCATGATGCTAGCGGCTCGAGAGGTGGAGAGCGGAGGAGAGGAGGGACGAGAGGGAGAGGAGGGAGGAGGAGAGGGAGAGGAGAGGGGAGGAGAGGAGGAGACAAGGAGTGGAGGGGGAAGGGCAGCCTACTGGGGAGAGATGGGGGTCGCAGGGGGAGTTGGCGTATGGGGGAGGGGGAGAAGGGGGAAGAGGGTTTGTCGGAGGAGGGGGGAAGGGGAGCAGGGTTGTGGGGGGGAGGAGGGGTTGAGAGGGGGGATGGGAGGAGAGCAAGTGGGAGGTGGGTCGCAGGTAAGCGCAGCAGCGCTGCCTTGAACAGCAGAGATTCCCAGGCGGATTTCCAGGTGGAAACTCAGGTGCTTTCAGCAGAGGCCGCAGAGGGCAGGGACGTGCAAGAATCGGAGCTCATTCAACTTGTGGTACATGGTAACCCTGATAAGCTTCTAGAAGCGGATACTCCTCTTGCTGCAGCTGCTACTGCTGGTACTGCTGCTTCTGCTGCTTCTGTGCTGCTGCTGCTTCTGCTGCTGCTGCAGCGGCTCCTGCTGATGCTGGTTGTGCTGCTGAATCTGCTGCCGCTGCTGCTCCAACGATTCCAACATTCCCAGCACTCGACGTGCTGCCTATGCCAGTGATCCCAGTGTGTGTGCTTCTGGCAGCGGAAGTGCACAGGGGGCGAACCCCATTTGGGAAGGGCAGGCTGGCATGCAGGAGGGGTCAAGTGGGAGGCCAGTGAGGGAGCGGCTAAGGGAGGAGTACGAGGGGCGACCTGTAGAGCTCTCAATGGCTCTCGTTGGTGGTATCCTCGCCATCTATAAGGCCGCTGCTAACGCTGATGCTAATGCTAATGCTGCTTCTGCTACTGATGCTGCTGCTGCTGCACCCTCCGCCGCCTTGCACGGAATCCCATCCCCCACACTGACCTCCTCGCTATCCTCACCATCGCTCGCAATCGCTGGGTTCCGGAGCATCTCAGCCGTCCGTCTCTTGCCCGGCACTCTGACTCTGCCCTGGCTCACATTGAACCCTCCCACCCCTCTCTCCACCTCTCACCCTCCCTTGCCTTCTTCCAACATATCCTCTCAGCAGCCGCAGCGGCACAGCAGCAGCAGCAGCAGCCAGGCACCCCATTTGAACGCTCACGCGCCTTCTCCTGGATGGGTCCTAGAGTCTTCTCCCGCTCCGCCTCCTCCCCCACCCTCTCTCACACTCACTCACACACCACTGCTGCCCCACACTCGTCCGCTGCTTCTCTCACTTCCACTCTCTCTGCTGCCGCTACCAATTCCCCCTGGTCCTCTGTTGCCAGTCTTCCTGGCAGCATTGCAAGCTCAGCAGCGGCTGTTGCTGGCGTTGCTCCTGATTTGCCTGAAGATGATGTGTGTGCTGGTGACTCAGCACCTGGGGTTGCTGATGTGACTGTAACATATGGGGAAAATGTGACTGTAACAAATGGGGAAAATGTGACTGTAACGGCTGTGCAAGTGGTTCTGGACTATCTGGCATCGGAAGCAGGCACAGCTCATCGACATGAGCTCCAACGGTTCAGAGTGAGGAGTCAGGTGCCTTGCAATTGAGTCAGGTGCCTTGCAACGGAGTCAGGTGCCTTGCAACAGAGCCAGGTTCCTTGCAACAGAGTCAGGTGCCATGCATAATTGGCTGATAAGTTGTCTCTTTATGATTGTTTATCTGCGTGGAGGCACACCCCTCAACCTCCCTCAACCCCTCTCCACCCACCCCTTGTCTCAGGATCCTATCAGAGCTGCTGGCAGACATGCAGCCACAGCAGCTGGGGCACTCGGAGCGACTGGCCTTCTGGATCAACGTGTACAACGCACTAGCCATGCATGTGAGGGCGGTCATAGTGTGTGCATGTAGGATGGGTTATACTGTGCGCATATGGTGCTGTGCATGTGAGATGGGGCACACTATGCACTAGAGGGGGGGTCTTGTGCATGTGAGCGGGTCTTGTGCATGGGCTGCTTATGCATGCGAGACGAGTATGGTGTGATCTGCATGTGTGCATATACGATGAGAGGTGCATGTGAGAGGGGGTCCCTGTGCATGTGAGAGGGGGTCATGTGCATGTGAGAGGGGGTCATGTGCTGCATGCATATCGCACTGCCATGCATATCGCACTGCCATGCATATCGCACTGCCATGCATATCGCACTGCCATGCATATCGCACTGCCATTCCTGTGAGCAGGCATACCTGTAGAGTCAATACGTGCATCTGTCGCCATCCCTCCTCCTTTCCGTCCTGCATCACTGCCTTGCCTTCACTTGTCCATCCTCTCGCTTCCTTCGCCCGCACACACGTCCTCGCCTTCACCATCGCTGCTTGTCTCTTCCTCCCCCCTCCTTTTCCCTCCTTTCCCCCCTTTCCCCCAGGCGTATCTGGTGTATGGCCAGCCACGCAGCCACTACAAGCGAGTCATGTTCATGCACAAGGTTTGACTCCTCTCTCCCCTCCCCTCACTCCCCCCCTCTCACTCCCCTCCTCTCTCTCCTCTCCCCTTTTCCCTCCCCTCACCTCCCCACCCCTTATTCCCCTCCACTCCCCTCCCCTCACATCACTCCCCTTCTTTCCTGCTGTGACACAGCCCCCACGTTTCCCTACTCCTCGCTAAGCTGGTGCCACCCACTCCTAATCTCCCAGTCAACATCCCTCATAACCTGTTTCTGCCTTCCTGCCATCAACCCTTCCTATTCCTCGTCTTCCTCATTCCCCTGCTCTCGCCCTCCTCTCACCATCTCCACCCCCCTTCCTCAATCTCCCCTTCCCCCACCCCCCCCCAACAACGCCCCCCTGTCCCCACCCATGCAGTCGGCCTAGATCATTGTCGTGCCTTCCCATGCGTGTTCCCCCAGTTCACTCGCCAGCATCTTCCCCTCTCCCTCCCTGCCCCCTCCACCCTTCCCCCCTCCCCTCCCATTCAACCACCCCTGCCGCCACCCATGCATGCAGTCGGCCTACATCATTGCTGGCCTGCCCTTCTCCATCCTCGCTATAGAGCACTGCATTTTAAGAGCTGCGTCCTTCCAACCAGCACTGGTAAGTCCCATGATTCTCCCATCTCACCCTCCCCCCTGCCTTGCACCCACATGTATTTCCAGGCCTTCGCTCCCATCACTGTCCCTGCCCCCTTGCCCCCTCCCCTCCTCCCCCTCCCTTCAAAATCCCACACAAAAAGCTCACACACGCACGAAAGTATCCCACTACCACCCTGCTTTTCCCCCTTTTCCAGGCGGGTCTGCTGCCAGTGCAGCGCTACAGGCGGGGGGAGTGCGTGGCGCTACAGCCTGGCTCTGCACCCTCGTCACACCTCCTTCCCTTTCCCCACCCGTCCACCCTCTCAACATTCTCCTCTCAGGCGGGTCTGCTGCCAGTGCAGCGCTACAGGCGGGGGGAGTGCGTGGCGCTACAGCCTGGCTCTGCACCCTCGTCACACCTCCTTCCCTTTCCCACCGTCCACCCTCTCAACATTCTCCTCACAGGCGGGTCTGCTGCCAGTGCAGCGCTACAGGCGGGGGACGTGCGCTACAGCCTGGCTCTGGACCGGCCCGAGCCTCTCGTCACCTTTGCTCTCAGCTGTGGCTGCGCCTCCGCTCCCCCTGTAAGCCTCGCCTCCCTCTGGCCCTCCTCACTCTCACCCCCCCTCTCCAATTCCCTCCCTCCTCTCCCCTTTTTACATGTGCTGTTCTGCCCTGGCATTTACACATTCGCACATTACTTGCACTGTGCTATCATACCCTCACCCTGATCCCCAGTTTCCTGTGCAAATTGCCCTCGACTGTCCGATTATGTTTTTCATCGTTTTCCCATCAACCAATCAGGTCCGAGTGTACCACCCTGACACTGTTCACGAGCAACTGAAAGCAGCTGCCCAGGAATACATTCAGGCAAACGTAAAGCTGCATCCGGGCAGCGGGAAAATTCTGCTTCCCAAGCTCCTGCACTGGTACAGCAAGGATTTTGCAAGAAACGCAGTGGGACTGTTGCAGTGGGCAGCTGAGCAAATGGAAGACGGGCAGAAGCATAACATTTTGCAGGCTATGGGTGCTGCTGGAGGTTCCAGGAAGGTTCGGCTGGGGAGGGTTCCTGTGCAGGTTCTCGCATATGATTGGACCTTCCAATATCTGCCTGGCGTGACAGGATCTCAATTTCCTAAAACTGTTAAAGACATAAAGTAATTTATTTGACATGCATAAAGGCCACCTTAAGGAAATATCTCTTCAAATAGCTGCTTCAAATAGCCAGCATGAGATTACTCTAGCAAACACAGCTGTAACAGCCAACCATCAGCCCATCCCCACATCATTTCCTCTCGCGCTGCCCCCTCTGTTTCCTTTTCTAAACCACTTATGCTTGTCATTTTCTACAATCTCCAGCAACAGATCTCCCACTGAACCTAATCAAGCGTCTCGCCAGTCCCCTTCGACGACAAATTCAGGCCGTCAAGGGGAAATTCTTCGGGAACACATACGTCCCGTTGACGCGCCACGTGGCAGGCAGTATGTTCAGCGCCGTGAGGCTGAACTTCTTGAGTGCGCTGACGACGTGAAACGAGATCGGTACGCCAATGACTTTCACTCCGCTCGCTGACCAAACTCCGCCGAAATTCCGCGCCATGGGCAGCCACGCTGCGCCGCCCACTTTCATGTGCACGGACGCGATTCCGCCAGGCCCCGCGGCGTTCATTATAAGCACCCCAATAAAGTAATCCGTCCCCATGACCGGCTTGAAAACGAGACCGCCTTGTCGTTTGCACGGGATTCGCGCAAGTCGCACGCGAATGTTCCCCGCGACGCGGTTCTTCACAATCTGATCGTACACCCACGGCGACATTATCACTCCTTTTTTCCCGGGCCGGCAGATTCCGGATCGCGGCTGCCCGATACACTCACTGGTGGCCGTCACGGCGACGATCTTATCCTGCCGGCACATCTGCGACTTGACGCATTGCAAGGCGTAACACGCGCCGCATCCGGTGCCGTTCTCGTAGAGCTTGGAGGAAATCGCGATGGTGGGGAGATTGTACGGCCGCACACCATTAGTCTTGCCGTAGCCGCAAGAGCCGCCGTCCTCGCCTTGGATCAACGAGAGCGTGCCCGTGAATTTGCTGTCCCACACGCCGTACTCCTCGACTGCTGCTGCGCGGGTTGCCATAAGGAGAAGGAGTAAGAGAGGCGGCAGGGCTAGTGCTGCTAGTCGAGTTCTTCCGCGCGCCATGTCGTGCAGTTTGCGTTCCGTGCAGAGGAGGTAGAAATGTGGCAAGTGCTCTTGAGTTGGAATGGAATCTCGTGGATGAAAAATCTCGGTGCAGTGATGTGGACTGGTTTGAACGCGGAGGTTGTGGGCCAAACTGAGTGTCGACGAACGTCAGACTAATAAATAGGGTCAGGGGTGTGGTGGGGTGAGGTTCAAATTGGGGAGGATGGGGAAGAGGAGAGTTGAGGCAAGGCAAGCGAATGCAATGTCGGTGTTATCGCGTCGCGGTGAGGCGGTCAACATTGGTCAATTTTCTGCTATAGCGAAGTGCGATGCTGCGTCAAACGAAGGACGACTCGGCGATCATCAATGCGACGCGTGAGACTTTGCAATGGGCATTCCTTTATCACGATCGACGATTCTCCGCATGACACGGCGCCCTGGAAAGGGCGCAAACAAAATGAATCTAAGAGTGGTTCATTTTAGTTTCGAGGAGTTTCCCGATTGAAACAAACAGTAGCTCGCAAAAATATTAAATTTACTACTACAGAAAATTGTTTGATTCTCTAAATCGAAGTGAAATGAAAGCAATTTCTTTCTCCATTATCAGTCCTAGTTTAACATCTCCGGTACAAGCAGCTACAGTTCATTCTGGAATCCGCACCAATTTCGGCAGGAGTTCCACAAATTGCCACGTAGTCCCATTTGCATCACCAGAACCTGAATATCTTCCATTGCATGACCATGGCTGCCTCTGTTACATCACTGCTGCCAGCGTCCGTAATCCCTGCGCGCGATGCTAGCTCATTCCACGGAGAATCGTCTAAACGATCCCTCCTTAAACCTTTACTCGGTCGTCATGCTGATCTTGCCGCCTTGCGCGGGAATCCGGGCATCAGGAATCGGACGAAACTCGCTTCACCTTACGGCCGCGATTCCGTGCAACCACACGATGAACGGACTTTCCGCGTGCGCGCAGCAGCCACTGCGGGCAGCGCAGCGGCAGATTCAGCGGAGGCCGAGAGCACAGTGGCGGAAGACATGAAGCAGCGGAGAGGCCTCCGCGGCAAAACCGAGGCTGACGTCATCGTCATCGGTTCCGGAATCGGCGGGCTCTGCTGCGGCAGCCTCCTCGCGCGCTACGGCCGCGACACGCTCGTGCTCGAAAGCCACTACCTCCCGGGCGGCGCGGCGCACGGATTCACGCGAAACGGCTTCTCGTTCGACACGGGCCCATCGCTGTTCTCAGGATTGTCGTCGCGCGGCCCGCAGGCGAACCCGCTCGCGCAGGTTCTCGACGCGCTGGGGGAGACCGTGCCGTGCGCGGCGTACGACAGCTGGATGTGCTACCTGCCTGAAGGCGACTTCCTCTCCCGCATCGGCCGTCTCACTTCATTGAGGTGTGGTAGTACGAGTAGCACCTTCCTTCTCTAACTCATGCCATGTGCACGTGCGCACCGTGTGCAGGTGTATGGGTGTGCGGGTGTGTAGGTATGAGGGTGCGCGGGCACTGATTACAGCGAATTTTCACTTTCTTGTAGGCGCCAGTTCTTCAGCCTCTGTAATACCGCGCCTGCTTGCAACGGTCCTCACTGCTCGCCTGTGCTCCCTTCTCTGCCCCTGCCTTAAACTCCGTTCCTTTCCCCATCCCTCCCTCCCTCCCGTCCCCCATCCCTTCCCCATCCCTCCCCCCCTCCCTTCCGTGCCGCAGGTCCCCAGCGAGTCCCTGTGCGCGACTGGCGCAAGCTCATGGTGAGGTGCTAGCGGCTCATGGTGAGTGCTAGACGGCTCAGTGAGGTGCTAGACGGCTCATGGTGAGGTGCTAGACGGCTCATGGTGAGGTGCTAGACGGCTCATGGGAGGTGCTAGATGGATCATGGTGAGGTGCTAGACGGCTCATGGTGAGGTGCTAGACGGCTCATGGTGAGGTGCTAGACGGCTCATGGTGAGGTGCTAGACGGCTCATGGTGAGGTGCTAGACGGCTCATGGTGAGGTGCTAGACGGCTCATGGTGAGGTGACTATGGTGGGTGCTAGACGGCCACCGCCCCTGCTCTCTGCATGCATGCGTGCGTGCCAATCGGTTTCACTTTGCCTCCCTGAACTCCTAACCCCCTGCGTGCCATTTGCTGATTGCCTTGACGACAGTGCTTTCTGCTTCCCTCCTAACCTATCCAGACGTCTCATCCCAATCCGCTTTAACCTGTTTCCTCATCATGCCGCACAGGTATTGCGGAAACCTCTTGCTTCTAGCCAGCCCCTCTTCCCCACCCAAAACCGACCCCTCCCCTCTCCCTCCTGCACCGCTCTCTCCTCCACACCCACGCGCACCTCCTTTCCCCCAACACGTGACAGTCAGTGGTGGAGCCTCTAGCCGGGCCCTCCATGGCCCTTCCCCCAGCCGCTCTTTGCAGCACAGCACCCCACCCACTCTCTTCCCCCCTTCCCCCTTCCCAATCTCCTCCACCCCCCTTTCCTTTTTCCCACTCCCCTCGCCCCCACAGGCAGTGGTGGAGCCTCTAGCCGGGCCCTCCATGGCCCTTCCCCCAGCCGCTCTCCGTGCTGACCCTGCTGTGCTGCTCACCGCAGGGCTGAGGTACGGGCCGAGCTGCTCCGCACGTTCGGCAACGCTGGGCCTGCAGGTGAGGCAATGGGGGAACTGTGGTGTTTCTCTCTCGTGTAACCTCCAAGTCGAAGGCGGAAATGGTTGTGGTGACTTTTGAGTCGACTCAGAAGTCAATGGCATCAGCGAGTGGATTAGGTGCAAAGCAACGCAGCACTGCAGTGCAGTGCGTGCCGTGCAGTGCAGTGCCTTGCTGGCTGGGTATGCCTGCGTGTGGCAGTGGGCAGTATGGTTCCATTCATCTGTGACTCTCCTCTCCTATCTCCTTTGCCTCTCTCACTGCCCTACTCACGCACGCCTCCTCCTGCAGCTGCGCTCAATGCATCTAAGCTGATGGTCCGTTCTCCTCGCTAGCCAACTCAGTGGGAGTGAAGCACCCCTTTGTGCGCAACTGGATCGACCTGCTCTCCTTCCTGCTGTCGGGACAGAAGGCCGACGCCACCATTGCGGCTGAAGTGGTGAGCTGCTCTCTGCATTTTCCTCCGCTTCCGTTGTAGTGTTGTACTTACCTGCGGTTTCTCCACTAACACAGTTTCTCTGCCATGGCATCTTCACCTTTCCTCTCCTTGCCTCTCTCAGGAACCCTGCTCTTCTCACATCTGAACACCCTCACCCCCGTATCTCCCTATCCCCCCCTATCCTCGCCCAGGTGTACATGTTTGCAGAGTGGTACAAGCCTGGGAGCGTCATGGAGTACCCTCATCCTAGTCGCCTCAATTATGACTTCTTAAGCCACCTAAACATTGTCTCTGCCGCCTTCTACCCCCCCTGCTCTCCCCCAGGTGTACATGTTTGCAGAGTGGTACAAGCCAGGGAGCGTCATGGAGTACCCTCTCGGCGGCCCAGAGGCGATTATTGAGGCGCTTATAAGGGGGATGGAGAAGCACGGCGGGCAGCTCTCCCTGAACTGCCACGTGGACAGCATAGTGGTGGAGGGCGGCCGGGCAGTCGGCGTAAAACTTAAATCCGGGCAGGTTGTTCGCGCCCGAACAGCCGTGGTGAGTAATGCATCGGTGTGGGATACCATGCGACTGCTGCCACCCGGGAGTGTACCTGCGGAGTATCGGAAAGAGAGGGAGGCTACACCTGAGTGTGATTCATTCATGCACCTGCATCTCGGAATCAAGAAGGAGAATCTTCCTGCTGACCTGGAAATCCATCACATCGTGGTCAATGATTGGTCGGTCGGTGTCGATGCGCCTCAAAACGTGGTCCTCATCTCCATCCCGACGGTTCTCGATGCGTCACTGTCGCCACCTGGCACCGTCTCATTGCACGCGTACACTCCGGGGACCGAGCCCGCTTCCCTGTGGCAAGGCCTGGATAGGCGATCGGCTGAATACAAGAAGCTGAAGGAGGAGAGGGCTGAGGTGATGTGGAAAGCAGTGGAAAGGGTACTTGGTCCGGGTTTCTCACGGGATCAATGTGAATTGGCATTGGTTGGCACCCCCTTGACTCATGGGCGGTATTTAAGGAGGCACCGAGGCACTTATGGGCCGGCAATCAAGGCAGGTGTGGGGACGTTTCCAGGTTCGACGACGCCTCTTCCGGGCCTGTTTTGCTGTGGGGATTCGACGTTCCCAGGAATCGGTGTGCCTGCGGTTGCCGCTAGTGGAGTGGTGGCGGCTAACACACTGACCCCTGTGTGGGACCACTGGAAGTTGCTTGATGCTATTGGTATCTGAACTGATCTGAGAGAAGCTTTTTATTTTAATAAGGTATTAACATATGCTACATAACTAGAGTATGGATTATTTTGAGAATGTATGAAAATACTACTACCGTGACGTCTTTTGCAAGAAGGAATGATTGCAAAAAGGAGAATCAACTGTTCAGCTTGTGACACAAGCGCCTGGCAGCTGATCACTGGTCGCAAGCAAGTATGTCCAGGGTTGAGCGAAATGCACTATGTCGAATGTGTGCCAACAGTGAATGGTAGCTCACCAATAGCACATTTCGGCGGGACCTCTCTACACAAACAGCCCGCTCAGCGGTTCGCCAGCTGGTCGCAGGAGTTTCTCGCTGTACTGTCTAAAGGGCCGTGACCATGACCCAGGGTCTGAGCGACATCTGATTTTTTTTCCTGTGAAGCTCGCTACAGTGTTTGGGCAAACCCTTGGAATGGTCAAAGTACCCGTGTGCCGCGTGCACACATGCACTTGCGACCGATGGCCAAAGCCCAGGGTTATCGCAAGGGACACTTGCGACAAGACGATACGCCCATGATGTAAATAGCCGGTGCGACAATACGTCCGGTGATCGCACAACTACCCGTCCTTGTAAATTTGCCCAGGCCAATCGTAGGGCTCACAGCAAGCGATCGTTCTATCCGCACAGCACTTGCTGTGCGAGAACGCTCGCATGGCTCGTTAGATTCATCACACGGCATGCAATTAGGCAAAGCGACAGCTAGCCTTGATTCTAGTTCTGTTGCGTCGCACGCACTATCCCGTCGCAAATGCCATTCGCAAATTCCAATTCCCCCATCAAACCCAACCAGCCGAACACCTTCGTCACCTGTCCATTCCCCAGGGTCTTCCTTTCCTGTCTCTTCCTCCCTGACTTCCTACATTCACATCCACCCTACCCTCCCTCTTCCAATCTTGCTTCTCAAATCCCCCAGCACGCAAGTTTTTTCTCACCTGCTTGTTCTAGGTTCTCCCTATCCTTCGTGTTACACAGAATCTTGCGAAGCATAGCGCGACGCGCGTTGTATTCTGATTTCGTGTTATCATATTGGCGCCTTATTCCACCGGCGCAGAATACGGTACTCTTAGGGTCACGTGCTGCGAATTGTTTCCGCGTAGCAAAGTCTTCTGCGGGTGCTTTCTGGTTTTAATAGCCAATATGGGCGGTTGACAAAGGCGGTACAGAATTTTGTAGCCCGTTCTCTTTACTAGTGGTGTCGAGCTCGTACTCTGAAGGCATGGCGACGTCGACAGAAGACGGCGAAGCGGATTACATGGTTAGCTCCTCAATCGTCAAAACCTTTTGCACAGCCAGTTTCGTTCAGCTACACGATTATGTTGGCTAAACCATTCGCTTTCGTCTCGTCAACTCGTACTGATCTGCCGAAGATGCTTCCATACCCTTTTTTCTTTTATGATCTACTGTTTATGCCGTGCCCGTTTATTTCTCATGTTTTTCGTGAATCGACTGTTGCCTCGAGCGCAGCGGTATCTAGACTCGGAGCAAGCAGTCATGGATTACGACATGTGCGACGAAGACAGCGACGAATGCGACGCGTACGACTATACCGATGACAGCAGCGACGCGGACAGTCAAGACGGCTCACAGGGAGATTGGGACTGGGACGCGACGCCTCGGCGGGACAGGACGGCCGACGCGCGGCAATATCAAGGAGAAGACGACTCGGACGAGGACAACGACATGGTCCGTCCATCGTCCATTGTCCATTGTCCGTTGCGCGATGTATCATTGTCTCACGTGCCTCTGCCTGCTGTCCTCCTCTCTGTTGCGTATGGCTGTCGCTTTTCTTCCAAACCATCTCAGTTTACTCACCTGCTCCAGCCATATTCCCTTTGAATACGGAGATTATTCTCCAACCTGTCTATGCCCCTGCCCCTGCCCCTGCCCCTGCCCCTGCCCTGCCCCTGCCCCTGCCCCTGCCCCTGCCCCTCCTCCCGCACCACCACCTTTCCCCTCCCTCTGGCAGCTGGACGGCGCGGCGGACGTGAGCGCACAACAGGCGGCGCGGGGGCGGGACATTCAGGGCATCCCGTGGGAGCGGCTGCACTTCACGCGCGCAAAGTACCGCGCCATGCGCCTGCAGCAGTACAAGAACTACAAGAACCTCGACGTCCCATTGGACGCTGTCGATAAGGTGCGATTTGGGCGCTGGGGGCGCTGTGGATAAGGTGCGCGCACGTGCTTTAGCTCGTGCTGCGTGAGCCTGCAGCAGTACAAGAACTACAAGAACCTCGACGTCCCATTGGACGCTGTCGATAAGGTGCGGTTTGGGCGCTGGGGGCGCTGTGGATAAGGTGCGCGCACGTGCTTTAGCTCGTGCTGCATGCGCCTGCAGCAGTACAAGAACCTCGACGTCCCGTTCGATGCTGTTGACAAGGTGGGCTTTGGGTGCTGCAGGCGATAAGGTGCGCGTACACACTTGACCAGTGGTGCATTTCCAACTGTGCATGTCAAACGGTGCAGATTCATTGGTGCATTCCTAATCCCGTTCGTTTGCCTTGGCATGTGTAACTGTGTGCTGTGTGTGACTCTGTGCGTGTGACTGTGCGCATGTGAGTGCGCGTGTGATTGTGCGCGTGTGACTCTACGTGTGTGACTGCGTCCTGCGCGCAGGAAGTGAAGCAGGTCAGCACAGACGCGGAGTTCTTCAGTTTCGCCTACAACACGCGCGCCGTCAAGTCCACCATCGTGCACTTCCAGGTACGCCCCCCCAGATACGCCCGCCCAGGTGCGCCCGTCCAGATACGCCCGCCCAGGTGCGCCCGTCCAGATACGGCCGTCCAGGTGCGCCCGTCTAGATACGCCCGTCCAGGTGCGCCCGTCCAGGTACGCCCGCCCAAGTACGCCCGTCCAGATACGCCCGTCCAGGTGCGCCCGTCCGGGTGCGCCCTTCTCCTTCCAGGCTTGCGGCATTGAAACTTGCTCGTGACGCGTGCTGCTTGCCATCACAATGCGATGCGAATGCATCAACAGCAACGTCACACCTCGTTCCTCATCCCCCCTTCCTCCTCTGTTCCTCCCCTCCCCCCCGATCCCGCCTTCCCCCTCCCCTTCCTCCCCCTCCCCCCCCCCCCCCCTCCCCCCCCAGCTGCGCAACCTAGTGTGGGCGACGTCGAAGCATGACGTGTACACGATGCACGGCCACACCATCGGCCACTACTCCGCGCTCTCCCACCGCTCCGTTGACTTCCTTGACCTCAGCGGACCCGTCGTGCCCATCTCCCATGTACAGCGACCATACATGCATGCATGCACACACGATCAAATGCATCCATACTTCGCCTTTAGTACATTGATGCATGCACCCATGCCCCCTTGCATCGACTTCTCTTTACTTGAGTGAACGCATGGTGCCCCGTTTCCCATGGGCAGCGCATCCTTCTTACCGTTTTGTGTCATCCACCCACCACACCTGACCCCGTCCCACCCATTCGTTTTTCTTGCCCTTCGCGAAGCTGTCATATTTTTAGCCGCAGTCATCCTCCCACCCACACCCATCCCCCCCTCCCTCTTCTTCCAATAGCTTTCCCTCACCCCTCTAACCATCCCCCGTCTCCTCCTTTGTCTCCTCCCCATCCCCACCCCGGGCCCACCCACTTCCACCCCAACCCCAACCCCCCTCGCCCTCCCCCTCCCCTCCCCTTTCCCTTCCCCTTCGCCCTCCCGCCAGCTACAGCGCGCCCCCTGGCTGTACCACCAGCGCGCCACCACTGCCACACTGCGCCCAGGCGGACCCAGGCTCTATGGGGCCGGGGGGACAGGGGGGACGGGCGGAGTAGCCACTGGCGCGGGGGGAGCAGCAGGGCCTGGGAGAGGGATGGAGGGGGAGGGGCGGCGGCAGGGGGGAATGGGGCAGGAATGGCGGATGATGGGACATGGGAACCAGTGGGTCGGGTGCAGGTGAGCATGCTGTGTGTGCAACAGAATCATGCTGTCTTTTTTCCTCCCTTTTTCTTATTTTCCTTCTTTTTTTTCGAGTCCTCCAACATGGGGTGCATGCATGCCAGGAAGAACACAGTGTCTTCGCAACGGGCTGGTTGCGCCGCCCTTTTTGTTGTGTTCTTAATGATGCAGTAAGAAACAAAAAAGGGAAAAAAAAAACGATTTAAATACTCCAACGTGGGGTGTGTGCATGCAGGTGAGCACACTGTGTGTGCGCAACGGGCTGGTGGCAGCGGGGGGCTTCAACGGCGAGATGGTGTGCAAGCGGCTTGAGACGTCTCAAAACACTTCTTTTATTACGTGGGCTGCGGGTGTGTCTGTGTGTGTGTCTGGGTGTGTGCATGCAGGTGAGCACGCTGTGTGTGCGCAACGGGCTGGTGGCAGCGGGGGGCTTCAACGGCGAGATGGTGTGCAAGCGGCTTGACAGCGGCGCAGAGGGCGGCGTGTCGTATGCTGGGCGGATAACACGCGATGAGAGCGCCATCACCAATGCCGTAGAGATCTTTGAATCCGCCAGGTGGGGAAGAGGGTGGGGAAAGGGGTGGGAGAGGTGGATAGTGGGTGGGGGAGGGGTGGGAGTGGGTGGATTGTGGGTGGGAAGGGGTGGGAGGGTGTGGGGAAAGGGTTGGGGTGGAGAGTGGGGTTTGGGGGTGAGCTTGGTTTGAGGGATAAGGGTGGCACAGGGCGGTGTGGCGTATGCTGGGCGCATTACCAGAGATAAGAGAAGAGTGACACCACAAAAGCATTGATTCAACGAAGAAACTACTTGCATGCCACTGTCCCTCTTCGCTTCCCCTCCTTTTACCCCCACCAGTGGCACAGTGCGAGTGTTGACGCCAACAACGACTGTCTCGTGACGGGAGTCACACGCATCCTCCACTTCTTAAACCCCCCCATCCCACCCCCTTCCCCTTGTGCCCCTGTCCTCGCCCACCCACCAGCGGAGCAGTGCGAGTGCTAACGTCAAACAATGACTGCCTCGTGAGGGAGTTTGATGCTGACTCGTTTGCCATCATCGCCCGCCACTCATGCCATGGCCCATCAATGTATGTACGCTGGCCAGATAGGAGTGCATGTTATGCCTTTATCAAGCTCCAGTCTATTCATTTGTTTGCGGCATCCGTCGACCATCTGTCGTTTTCTGCCATTTTTTTTTCTCTCCCTTCCCTTTCT